ATGTTGTATTGCTGAGAGGGCCCAAAGATATCTCTCTATCATATGGAGAGACAAACTCACAGTCTCGATCCATGCCAACCCAACAGACACCTTTGGAGATATCTGTAGAGCATCTTTATGATCACCCAGTTATGAAGTGACGTTTGATAGCACATAAGGTATTCCTCCGGTATCCAGGAGTTGCATGATCTCATGGTCTTAGGAATAGATACTTGATATGAAGAAAGCTATAGCAATAAACTCAAGTGATACGATCAAATGCTAAGCTTAGGGCTGGTGTAGGATCGAAAGTATGTCTAGAGGGGGGGGTGATTAGACTACTTGACCAAATAAAAATCTAGCCTTTTCCCAATTTTAGTTCTTGGCAGATTTTAGCTATCTTAGCACAAGTCAAGCAATCTCCACACAATTCAAGCAAGCATGCAAAAAAGTATATGAGCAGCGGAAAGTAAAGTATGCAACTTGCAAGAATGTAAAGGGAAGGGTTTGGAGGATTCAAACGCAGTTGGAGACACAGATGTTTTTGTCGTGGTTCCGATAGGTGGTGCTATCGTACATCCACGTTGATGGAGACTTCAACCCACGGAGGGTAACGGTTGCGCGAGTCCACGGAGGGCTCCACCCACGAAGAGTCCACGAAGAAGCAACCTTGTCTATTCCATCATGGCCGTCGCCCACGAAGGACTTGCCTCACTAGCGGTAGATCTTCACGAAGTAGGCGATCTCCTTGCCCTTACAAACTCCTTGGTTCAACTCCACAATCTTGTCGGAGGCTCCCAAGTGACACCTAGCCAATCTAGAAGACACCACTCTCCAAGAAGTAACAAATGGTGTGTTGATGATGAACTCTTTGATCTTGTGCTTCAAATGATAGTATCCCCAACACTCAACTCTCTCTCACAGGATTTGGATTTGGTGGAAAGAAGATTTGAGTGGAAAGCAACTTGGCGAAGGCTAGAGATCAAGATTCATATGGTTGGAATGGAATATCTTGACCTCAACACAAGTGTAGGTGGTTCTCTCTCAGAAAATGTGTATTGAAAGTGTAGGTATGTTCTGATGGCTCTCTCCACGAATGAAGAGTGGGTGGAGGGATATATATAGCCTCCACACAGAATCTAACCGTTACACACAATTTGCCAAACTCGGTGGGACCGAATGGTTAAACTCGGTTGGACCGATTCAGCAAACCTAGTGACCTTTAGGATTTTCGGTGGGACTGAGATGCAACTCGGTAGGACCGATATGGTTAGGGTTAGGGCATAACGTAATCTCGGTGTGACCGATTACACAAACTCGGTGGGGCCGATTTTGGTAATAAGCTAACCAGAGAGTTGGTCAGGTAAACTCGGTGGGACCGATTCGCTCATGTCGGTGAGACCGAAATGTTACAGAAGGGAAACAGAGAGTTTACATTCCAATCTCGGTGGGACCGATCGCTCATCTCGGTAAGACCGAAATGTTACGAAGGGAAACAGAGAGATTACAATCCCATCTCGGTGAGACCGAGATCCCTATCGATGAAACCGATTTGCCTAGGGTTTGTGGCAGTGGCTATGACATTTGAAACTCGGTGGCGCCGGATAGAAAGAATCGGTGGGGTCGAGTTTGACTTTTGGTTTAGGTCATATGTGGATGTGGGAAGGTAGTTGAGGGTTTTGGAGCATATCACTAAGCACTTTGAGCAAGCAAGCCATTAAGCAACACCTCATTCCTCCTTGATAGTATTGGCTTTTCCTATGGACTCAATGTGATCTTGGATCACTAAAATATAAAATGTAGAGTCTTGATCTTGAAGCTTGAGCCAAACTTTTTGTCCTTAGAGTTTTGAGGGATCCACTTTCCTCATCCATGCCATGCCATTCATTAAGCTTTTCCTGAAATATTAATCTTGGAATAATGTTAGCTCAATGAGCTATATGTTGTTAGGAATTACCAAAACCACCCAGGAATAGTTGCACTTTCAGCTGGGTCTTGTCCATCACATCGTTCTCCTAATTATGTGATCCCGTTATCAAATGACAACTCATGTCTATGGTTAGGAAACCTTAACCATCTTTGATCAACGAGCTAGTCTAGTAGAGACTCACTAGGGACATTGTATTCGTTTATGTATTCACACGTGTATTTAAGTTTCCGGTCAATACAATTCTAGCATGAATAATAAACCTTTATCTTGAAAAAGGAAATATGATAATAACTAATTTATTATTGCCTCTAGGGAATATCTCCAACAGTCTTCCACTTGCACTAGAATCAATAATCTAGTTTACACAGTTATAAATCTAACACCCATGGAGTCTTGGTGTCGATCATGTTTTGCCCGTGAAAGAGGTTTAGTCAACGAGTCTGCCATGTTCAGACCCGTATGTACTTTGCAAAGTTCTATGTCTCCATCTTTAACATAATTACGAATGGAGTTGAAACGGCGCTTGATGTGCTTGGTTCTCTTATGAAACTTGGGCTCCTTGGTAATGGCAATAGCTCTAGTGTTGTCACAAAAGATAGTCATTGGATCCGATGCACTAGGTATTACACCCAGATCGAATATGAACTCCTTCATCCAGACTCCTTCTTGTGTTGCTTCCGAAGCAGCTATATACTCCGCTTCACATGTAGATCCCGTCACAACGCTTTGTTTGGAACTGCACCACCTGACCGCTCCACCATTTAATATAAATTCATATGCAGTTTGAGACTTAGAGTCATCCGGATATGTGTCGAAGCTAGCGTCGACGTAACCCTTTACAACGAGCTCTTCATCACCTTCATAAACGAGAAACATGTTCTTAGTCCTTTTCAGGTACTTCAGGATATTCTTGACCGTTGTACAATGATTTACTGCTGGATTATTTTGGTACCTCCCTGCCAAACTTATGGCAGGACACACATCAGGTCTGGTACACAGCATGACATACATTATAGAGACTACGGCTGAGGCATAGGAAATGACTTTCATCCTTTCTCTTTCTTCTGCCGTGGTCGGGCTTTGAGTCTTACTCAACTTCACGCCTTGCAATACAGGCAAGAACCCTTTCTTTGACTGATTCATTTTAAACTTCTTCAAAACTTTGTCAAGGTATGTGCTTTGTGAAAGTCATATTAAGCATTTTGATCTATCCTTGTAGATTTTGATGCCCAATATGTAAGCACCTTCACCGAGGTATTTCATTGAAAAACTCTTGTTCAATATCATTTTATGCTTTCCAGAAATTCTATATCATTTTCAATCAATAATATGTCATCCACATAATATTAGAAATGCTACAAATTTCCCACTCACTTTCTTGTAAATACAAGTTTCTCTGTAAGTTTGTATAGAACCAAAAATTTTGATCACCTCATCAAAATGTATATTCCAACTCCGAGATGCCTGCATCACTCCATAGATGGATAGCAGGAGTTTGCATACTTTGTTAGCATCCTTAGAATCGACAAAATTTTCTGATTGCATCATCTACAACTCTTTCTTAAGAAATCCGTTAAGGAATGCCGTTTTGACGTTTATTTGACAGATCTCATAATCATGAAATGCAATAATTGCTAACATAATTCTAACAGACTTAAGCATCACTACAGGTGAGAAAGTCTCGTCGTAGTCAACCCCTTGAACTTGTCGAAACCATTTGCCACAAGTCAAGCTTTATAGATGGTGACATTACCATCAGCGTCTGTCTTCTTCTTATAGATTTATTTATTCTCAATGGCTTGCCGATCATCGGGCAAGTCCATCAAACTCCATACTTTGTTCTTATACATGGATCCTATCTCGGATTTCATGGCCTGAAGTCATTTATCAGAATCTAGGCTCATCATAGTTTCTTCATAGTTCGTAGGTTCATCGTTGTCTAACAACATAATTTCCAAGACTGGATTACCGTACCACTCTGATGCGGAATGTACCCTGGTTGACCTACGAATTCAATAGTAACTTGATATAAAGTTTCATGATGATCATCATTATTTTCCTCTTCGTTTGGTGTAGGCATCATGGGAATTGCTTTCTGTGATGTGCTACCTTCCAATTCAAACAATTCAAAAGAAGATACGATTACCTCATCAAGTTCTACCTCCACCCACGCATTTCTTTCAAGAGAAACTCCTCTAAAAATGACACATTCTTGACAAAAAAAATCTTTTCATTGGATCTGTAGCAAAAGGTATACCCAATGGTCTCTTTAGTAGAGTATCTTATGAAGACGCACTTCTCCGCTTTGGATTCGAGCTTATCAGGCTTTCGGCCTCATGACATAAGTGTTGCATCCTCAAACTTTAAGAAACAACAACTTGAAATTTCTTGTCAAACCATGGCACGCGTGCCATTCTAGTAAAAATTCTAGCGCCCATGTGCATCGTTCCGTACAAATACAACCTCTAGCTCGAGAGTCCGTCCAGCCAGCGTCGCACAAGGCACGACAGCTACCCTGAATTTCTATTATGATCAGTTCACTATCACAGCAGGTCTTGAAACTCTCAATCATGTTAAGCTAGTAGATATCATCCACTGCAACAATAGCATTGCTTTTCCAAACCAAACCACGAACACAACACGGTGCCAAAGGCTAAAAAAGAAGCCACTTTGGTTCTGCCTGCTCACCTTCACATCCATCCAACAAATGCTTCTACAGCAGCAAGCAAGATACTTCTCCCTCCGTCACACAATATAAGAGCGTTTTTGACACAAACACTCTTATATATTATGGGACGGAGGGAGTATGAAACATCCAACACAGAGTACTGCTCAGTACCACTGGTACCGACTGTAACGATAGCAACGCACCAGGCCACACGCTACAATGGCTTGGCGACTTTCTCGTCTTGCCACAGGTTCTTTCTTCTTGTTCTGGCATTCTAAAGACACCACTATAGAGGAGTCCTAAGATCTAAGCATAGTGAAACAGAACAAAAGGGAGCTAGGGAGACCTGACTAGACAATCGCTTCACTCTCTACCACCCGCCTTGCTTTGACACATGCAGAAACCCACTCTATGCTTGCACATCTACCGTTTTGCCGGTATGACGTATCTGCCCCTCATTCCCTGGCCATCTCCTTTGTTGCTCATCCTAAACTCTCGTCTCACCCTGGCCTCCTCCGCATCCAGCCAATCCTCATCACGAACAACAATAAACTGCAAAAAGGAAAAGATCAATACATGAAACCAACAACGGCTCATCTTCACATCCATAACATTTCAAGTTTTTTGCGTGACTAATAATACCTCATCGAATAATTCTTCTGACATTCGCCCACAACCATTGCGCCGAACAGGCAACTTGTCTCGCTTTTTGTACTCGACACCAGTGGGGTGCTTTACATCATCTCCACATCCACAGCACTCACCTATAATTATGTTGTAGTTTTGTTATTAATCAACATCTGACGCATCATAAATCTGATACTATTCAAAATACAAAATAGGACTGCAAGTCTGGAACAAACAAACATTCACAAAGATTTTGGCCCTAGCATTCTGGAAAAAATAATGAACAAAAATAGCAAGCAGAGAGTATACTAAATAGCAGAATGAGTGACTAAAACAATGCAAAATGAGAATTCCTCAGGAGAAAAGCTGCTTCAAAGTCCTCCCAGCCTATCCACTTCGTTGTATTATTTTTGTATCGCCCGATTGGCTAACTTCTACTGCAAACAAGGGTAGATACTACCTCCCGCCACAAACGAGGACCTCATGCGAACCCTGAAAAGCTCGTTTGCAGCCCTCCCAAACCCTTTCGGGCCCCTGTGCCCCATTCTCCCCTCACATCTCACACCACCATCTCTCGCTCCCGTCTCGGCGCCGCCAGCCCCTCTCCCCCAGTCTCTTCCGCCCCGCGGGCTCCTCCGCCTTCTCTCCTCATCCTCTTCTCCCCCTCTAATCTCTCCAAACCCTAGCAAATCCAGCCCAGTCTGATCTCCCCGTCCACACCACCCCTAGATGTCGAGGAGGCCAGCCACGACGCTGCCGTCACGCCACCCTTGGATGCTCAGGTGACACACGAGGCAGGCAGCCACGACGCTGCCAAGTACCCGCCCTTGGATGCGGAGGTGCTGCCCCACCACGATGCTGCAGAGGCGTTACCTAAGGCAAGCCACGACACTCGCCCAAGTTCAGCAACAGCAACGACCTCGTCATGGACTCATGGTGGATGCGCTGCCCATCATCAGCCACCGAGCCAGGACGCTGCGGAGGCGTCGCCCAAAGGCCAACAATGAGAACAACCTCACCATAGTAGATGTCAACGCTCAACAATACGCGCGCGGATGGCTGCAGCAGCTCGAATGCACCCAACCTGATGCACTTCCTCCTACATCTACAGCACCGCTCTTGCAGCTTCGGCGTCGAAGGTGAGACTCTCGTTGTGCTGACGGTGTGGAGCAGTTCTTGCGGACCCTTGTTGACCTATGGGCACATTGCTATCTTTCCGGGCTGACGCCACGACATCCTCCCCTCTTCCAGGCACTCCCAACAAGGAGCTCACCCATGTTACTGCCATACCTCCGACGCTCTCGGCAGCCAGCTCCGTTCAGGTAAAGCTCGCCCTCCTTATCCCTAAAAAAATAAACTACTCCCTCCATCCCATAATATAAGAGTGTTTTAACGCTCTTATATTATGGGACGGAGGAGGTAGTTACTAGATGCCAAGATTAGGAATTGTTCTGTTGGCTAGTTATCTCCATCCATCAGGAATTATAGTATTGTTAATGTGTTTCCTTCATTTGGTCTTCTGCTGTTTGATAATTACTGGTTGTACACTGCGCATAGCAGCACAATTTTCTAGCACCAACAAGTTTCTAACAAAACATATTTTCTAACAAAATGTCAGGGGCGCGTCTTTAGGACTAGTAAACCAATTCATTCGAAAATCTACTTTGGACACGGTCGCACGGCTGCCTTAGCATGTGGTGGCTCGTGGCCGTGTAGGATTTCCATTGGGCGCACCCAATCTGCTGCTGGGGTGACACAAGCGTGAATCTTTTCTGCAAGTGCTACATTAACACGACAGTGGCACTACAGCGAGGCTTGAATGGTTGCTATAGCCTATAGGGACGCTGCAGCTTTTGTGCAGGAGACCTGCTTTTTCTGACAGGGATGCAGGAGATGTATGCATGCTTCTTTTCTTCGATGTTCACGTCCCTCCCTCTCAAAAAATTTACTCTAAAACAAGACATGAAATTCATACATGCAGAGACTAAGGTTAAGTACCTTTTTAATTTCAATGGTAACCTTATACCACAAAACATGTAGCTAATACCGAACCACTGGATAGCACGACCTTTTATCCTTGATGCTATCCTTCGCGAGTATAAACATGCATATACCGTACAAATCGATGAACCTAAACTATAATATTAAACAAACCAATAACTGCTTTGTAAACAACCTAGTAATTGTTTTTCAGAACCCCATAGCTATTGTTAAATAATTAGTCAACTGCATCGGGGGAAGCTAATAGCTAGTGCAAAACAACCTGGCAACTACATTTGAGAATCTAGTGATTGCTTCCACAAAGCCCGACAATCGCATCAAAACAGTTTGGCAATTATATCTGAGAACCTGGTAACTGCTTTCGTAAAACCGGATAACTGCAAGTGCAGAATTGTTTTTCCACAAAATCTGATAAATTAAGAGACATGTTGGAATTTTAATTCTATACGTTATTAATATGGAACATGCCTGGACATGCTAGTAGCCTAGTGCTTACGGACCATGCATCGCTAGCATTACAACCATAATTAGTTAGTGCCTATACTTGGAGAGATGCACTCCTTCAAATGTCACGCTCTACATGTGTTGTGTGCAGTGTCAGTGCAAACCACCAGACTCATATGATTGCTTACATAAAGCAGCAGGACCACCGCCATTAAGGTCCTATTTAGGCTGTGTCCCAGACACCATCAGGTTCAAGGTATTGGTATGCTCTTTTTGTACCTAAGAATAACTGGAGAACATGCTCCCATATTGTTAATATGGTGGAAAATCTAAAATGTTAGACCATGGTGGTGCTTCAGCATTTGAACTATGTAGACACTGGATTCACTCAAAACTCTATTGCAGGAATGGCCTTTTGTGGTAGTTGCTTAGCTAACTTAGAAAATGGTCATCTTTAAGAAGCTTGACTGTGAGCATACATGTAAAAATAACGAGCTATAACATTCAGAAAAATGACTAAACAGAAATAGCAGCGGAGAAAATTAGTAGACGCGTATATTGATATACTAAATGGCAGAATATACCGTTAGCTTCTGGCGTAACAACACATATACAGCTGAGCACATATACCTCCAATTCCCCATCCTTCATACATGTAATTTCAGCGAAGAAAAGATCGCCGACGGCACTCGACCCACTCTTGACAATCAAATTTAAATGAGAGAATGATCTGCATTTGTATGGAGAGTTTTTCCCCTGAAAATGTGGTTTGTAACTCACAATTTCCTTCAGTTCATATGCAAAATCCTAACATAGTAAACATACATCGTATCAGTAATGAAAGAATCAAGAGCAAAGCCAAAAGGGAGTGAGGAAGAGGGCAAACCCCAAAAAGATGATGGTCCTCATTGTACTTGTCCAGTAAAGCATTAAGCACATCCCATTTGGGGCGACGGTTGATCATCACATCCAAAGCTTGTTTGGAATTCATCCTTGTACCATTAGGCCAGTACAGGGTCTGCCACACATGGATATCCTCCTCTGAAAGATCCCCCATGTACCTAGTGCAAAGAGAATAAGAGATAGACCAAACAACCCCCAAGGCTAACACAACTCATGGTAGCAATAAACAATACAAGGCTAAGCGAAACTGAATTTCCTACATACTTATAAAGAAC